TTAGTTGATTCTTTTGTAGAAGCGTTTCATCAGAACTATCCGGAGGTTTTTAAAAATTATATTAAAATTCTATATATTTACAGGCGGCAGATGGTCATTTAGAGCGCATAAAAAAGGATGATAATAGTAAAGATGCGGGATGCGCTACTTATGCGATCACCTTACAGTTCAATAGACTTGGAAGCTTGATTGCTATAGGTTGCAACGATGGAAAAGTTGAAATATGGGATTACATCACGAGGCGCATTGCTAAAGTACTTGTCGCGCATGCCCATCCTGTTTGCTCAATCAGGTAACTTCTAATATAATGTATTGGATATCAGCCTAGCTGGAGTCGGGATAGCAAGAAACTTCTTAGCGCATCGACCGACAATACAGTCTCAATGTGGGATATTATAACTAGTGATTGTGAAAGGACATTTCGTTTTCCGTGTCCTATAATGCGGGTGCAGTTTCATCCACGGAACACGAACCAAATTCTTGTGTGCCCACTTAGGCACCCTCCTGTTCTCATCTCGACTCAGATTGGTGCTCCTACGATAATTCAGCCAGAAGAAGAGGTAAACATTACTATTAACAAGTTATTTTTTTAATAAAATCATTCATTCCTTTTCGAATGGCATACATTAAATGTTTATTTTTTGCTTTTAGTTTGATTTATCATTACGAGTTTCAAATAGTGTGCTGGCCGATTTTCTATTCATTTAGTAGAAAAATATCGGTGTAGGCCTTGAACTCCGTTGAAATGCTTAATATATAGTTTGAATTTCGTGCTTGGATATTTTATTGCTTTTTATTACTGAATCCTAATATTTTAAGATACTCTGCTATACAATATATGCAACAAGCTATTTCTTTCAGTCGTCTATATTTAGGGATAGCTCTTAATAGAGGCATGTTAATGCTTCTAGTTGATTGGAATTATATGGCATTTTTATCATCGTCGTTCATTAATTTGTACTTTTATCTTTTGCACAAAACTTACTGGCTGATTGATTCTATAGTGCTTTACTGATAGATAGGACTTGGTTTTGCTTGAATAAATACCAAATAATATCATAGTTGCGAGAGGCTATCTTACATCTCAACGTACTTGCTTTCTCCTTATAAAATGAGATATTCGTTTACTGGAACCAAAATCTAGCTTGCATTCTGAATTCTGATTTTTTTTAATTCTAATTAACTCATCAGAATGACCTAAGCATCGTTGCCTCGTATGATCGCCGTGGGAATTATATATTTACAGGAAATTCTAAGGGCAAGGTAAGCCAAATGTATACCTTTGTTCGCTACACTTAAATCTATGTTGCATTTCATTATCCAAATTACCATACTGATATATCGGAATAGTAATTACTACCTAACTAGCGCTAAAAATAGCATATCATAGTTAAATGATAATTTTTACCTATTTGTTGTGATGGGATATTTTGTGACATATTTTTTCTTTGTATTCAGTCTGTTTTTCATATTGAAGCCCCTTTATACAAACCTATTGTGTATTAGTGTGAGTCTGACCGTTAATCATTTTTATCATATTTAATATTCTTTTGAGAATGGACCTTTAGAAAAAATTGGCAAAACTCAAAGGTCTCGTAGATCTCGATAATTTTAAAACTTAATCCGTCCCTATTAGTGTGAGCCCCACAAGATCAGTCTCATATTTGCTCGACTCGAAGCCTGTTAACCAAAATTTTAAAATCTGATTGTTAAAATTTTATTTCGATCCTATTTTTGTACATGTCATGCTCATGGTTCTATTAAAAATCCTATTTAGTCACTGAAATAATAAGCTTTTGAGCCACAGTTACGCTAACCTGCCTTTGGGTCGACAGTTTCTTTTCCGTTTTACCTCTATAAACTAGACTTTAAGAACACTATTTAGTTGTCTATTAGTTATAATTATTTTATTAAAATTGTATCTTCTTATATAACAGTACAAAGCACCTTGAACTTTAAACGCTAGCATTAATTGTAAATTTATATCACTTTGGAACAAAAATAAATTGGACAATCTCATTAATCACTTTATACGAACTCATAGTTTCTCATTCTCTTGTATTGGTAATCAAATTTCTGCTTACTAGGTGTCCATCTATAAGACTGACACTTTGAAGTTAGTGAATTCATTTCGGTCCACTTCAACTGCAAATGCGGCCATCAAGTCAATTGAGTTCGCCAGGAGGGGCGAGTAAGTTTTGCTAGTTATTTTTTTATTTTAGGCGTTTTGTCTTCATTTATAATAACCGAGGTTATATTTAATTTTTATAGAAGTGGCCACAACATCTTGGTCTTCATATCTTCAATTGAATTTTTATAGTTCAATTTCCCCATTTTCAATCAATTATTGTAACTGAACTTCCTCCTAGATGAATGTTAGCATGTAAACACATTAATAGCTGTATTCAACCTATTCACTTAGAGCGATTAAGGACTGGTAATTGGATTCTCCACGATACGAGGAGTAGACCTTACGTTTCCAATGAATTTCTTATAGCTTTGTTTTCTAAGAGGCATTCTCTCCCAGGGTGAAGTATACTGCAGCTTCTACCTTGCCCAGGTCTCGTCAGCGGATAGTCTCGAAAACCTACTTATAAAACGAAAAATATACAGGCACAGTGACCGAGTCAACTAATCTCTTTACACGAATTCCTAGATTATAATCTTTATTGTCGTAGGATGCTAGGAATTCATGAGTCACTAAAGTATACTATTTTTTATTTACTGTAGATACTTTCTCATAAACTGCGCTGACCGTGTTATTCGAGTATATAACCTCTTGGATGCTCTGAAACCCTCTAGTCTAGATCCAGATCCAATGCAGAAGCTTAAAGATCTAGTTACAGGGTAAGTGAAACATCATTCTTATATGTGAGTTACTCTATGACTTGAAAACTATTAAACTTATTGAAGTTGTTTGACCTTGTTTTCGCAACTCTGTCATATTGGTAGGAAGACTTAGACAAACGCACCTTGTCCTGAGTCCATTGTATGCATAATCATTTCTAAAGTCGGGCCGTGGACGTGGTACATTCCCAGACGTTTCGCCGGCATCGTAGTCGGCATCGTCAGTGAGTTT